GGTGACTCCGGTGGTGACTCCGGTGCCGCGCACGGCCAGCGTGCCGGGGAGGGGGTGTCACGCGAGGACAAGGTGCGTGGCGCGGCCAACTCGCACAACTCACTCGCTCACTCACCTATCTATTCACTCACTCGCCTACCCGCCCACTCACTCGCCTATCTATTCCGTCGCCTACCCACTCACCCGCCCGCCCACTCACTCGCCTACCTGCCCACTCACTCGCCTATCTATTCACTCACTTACCCGCTCACTCACTCGCCTACCCGCTCACTCATCACCCGCCTACCCGCTCACTCGCCTACCCGCTCAGTCGCCTACCCACTCACTCATCCAGCAGTGATGTGTGTGTGTGTGGTGCAGGTGCTAGCGCTGGTGGCGGAGGTGGCGCTGAGTGTGTGTGGTACATGCTGCGTGTGTGTGTGTACTGTGCGTGTGTGCTGTAGGTGCCGCTGTGTGTGTGTGGTACATGCTGTGTGTGTGTTGTGTGTGTGTGCTGCAGGTGCTGGCGCTGGTGGCGGAGGTGGCGCTGCGTGTGTGTGCTACATGTGTGTGTGTGTACTGCATGTGTGTGTGTACTGCATGTGTGTGTGTACTGCGTGTGTGTGTGTAGCTGCGTGTGTGTGTGTGCTGCGTGTGTGTGTGTGCTGCGTGTGTGTGTGTGCTGCGTGTGTGTGTGTGCTGCGTGTGTGTGTGCTGCGTGTGTGTGTGTGCTGCGTGTGTGTGTGTGCTGCGTGTGTGTGTGTGCTGCGTGTGTGTGTGCTGCGTGTGCGTGTGCTGCGTGTGTGCGTTGCGTGTGTGCGTGGCGTGTGTGCGTGTGCTGCGTGTGTGCGTGTGCTGCGTGTGTGCGTGTGCTGCGTGTGTGCGTGTGCTGCGTGTGTGCGTGTGCTGCGTGTGTGCGTGTGCTGCGTGTGTGCGTGTGCTGCGTGTGTGCGTGTGCTGCGTGTGTGCGTGTGCTGCGTGTGTGCGTGTGCTGCGTGTGTGCGTGTGCTGCGTGTGTGCGTGTGCTGCGTGTGTGCGTGTGCTGCGTGTGTGCGTGTGCTGCGTGTGTGCGTGTGCTGCGTGTGTGCGTGTGCTGCGTGTGTGCGTGTGCTGCGTGTGTGCGTGTGCTGCGTGTGTGCGTGTGCTGCGTGTGTGCGTGTGCTGCGTGTGTGCGTGTGCTGCGTGTGTGCGTGTGCTGCGTGTGTGCGTGTGCTGCGTGTGTGCGTGTGCTGCGTGTGTGCGTGTGCTGCGTGTGTGCGTGTGCTGCGTGTGTGCGTGTGCTGCGTGTGTGCGTGTGCTGCGTGTGTGTGTGTGCTGCGTGTGTGTGTGTGCTGCGTGTGTGTGTGTGCTGCGTGTGTGTGTGTGCTGCGTGTGTGTGTGTGCTGCGTGTGTGTGTGTGCTGCGTGTGTGTGTGTGCTGCGTGTGTGTGTGTGCTGCGTGTGTGTGTGTGCTGCGTGTGTGTGTGTGCTGCGTGTGTGTGTGTGCTGCGTGTGTGTGTGTGCTGCGTGTGTGTGTGTGCTGCGTGTGTGTGTGTGCTGTGTGTGTGGTACATGCTGTGTGTGTGCTGTAGGTGCTAGCGCTGGTGGCGGAGGTGGCGCTGTGCGTGCCCCCACTGTGTGTGCTGCGTGTGTGCTGCATGCTGCGTGTGTGTGCTGTGTGTGTGCTGTGTGTGTGCTGTGTGTGTGGTGGCGGAGGTGGCGCTGCGTGTGTGTGTGCTGCATGTGTGTGTGTGCTACATGCTGTGTGTGTGTGTGCTGCATGTGTGTGTGCTACATGCTGTGTGTGTGTGCTACAGGTGCTGGCGCTGGTGGCGGAGGTGGCGCTGTGTGTGTGTGTGCTACATGTGTGTGTGTGCTGCATGCTGCGTGTGTGCTGCGTGTGTGTGTGTGCTACATGTGTGTACTGTGTGTGTGTGCTACGTGTGTGTACTGTGTGTGTGGTGCAGGTGCTGGCGCTTGTGGCGGAGGTGGCACTGCGCGTTCCCCCGCTGTGTGTGCTGCGTGTGTGTGTGTGCTACATGCTGTGTGTGCTGCGTGTGTGTGTGTGCTGCATGTGTGTGTGTGCTGCGTGTGTGTGTGTGCTACATGCTGTGTGTGCTGCGTGTGTGTGTGTGCTGCGTGTGTGTGTGTGCTACATGCTGTGTGTGCTGCATGTGTGTGTGTGCTGCATGTGTGTACTGTGTGTGTGTGCTACGTGTGTGTACTGTGTGTGTGTGGTGCAGGTGCTGGCGCTGGTGGCGGAGGTGGCGCTGCGCGTGCCCCCGCTGCTGGACGTGGAGCGCTCTCGCCGCCAGCTGGCGGACGAGGCCCCCGGCTCCTCGTCCCCCCTGGGGGTGGCGCTGCTGCAGGAGATGCAGCGCTACAACGCCCTGCTGCATACCGTGCGGTGAGTGTGTGTGTGTGGTGTGGTGAGTGTGTGGTGAGTGTGTGTGTGGTGTGGTGTGTGGGTGAGTGGGTGGGTGGGTGAGGGTGTGGGTGGGTGGGTGAGTGTGTGGGTGGGTGGGTGAGTGGGTGAGGGTGTGTGGGTGAGTGTGTGGGTGGGTGAGTGTGTGGGTGGGTGAGTGTGTGGGTGCTGCAGGAGATGCAGCGCTACAACGCCCTGCTGCATACCGTGCGGTGAGTGTGTGGGGTGTGTGTGGGGTGTGGTGTGTGTGGTGTGTGTGGTGTGTGGGGGGGGGGGTGGTGAGTGTGTGGTGTGTGGTGAGTGTGTGGTGAGTGTGTGGTGTGTGTGTGGTGTGGTGTGTGGGTGAGTGGGTGGGTGGGTGAGGGTGTGGGTGGGTGGGTGAGTGTGTGGTGGGTGAGTGTGTGGGTATGTGGTGTGTGGTGAGTGTGTGGTGGGTGAGTGTGTGGGTGAGTGTGTGGTGTGTGTGTGGGTGCTGCAGGAGATGCAGCGCTACAACGCCCTGCTGCACACTGTGCGGTGAGTGTGTGGTGTGTGGGTGGGGGGTAGTGAGTGTGGTGTGTGGTGTGGTGTGTGGGTGAGTGTGTGGTGTGGTGAGTGTGTGGTGTGTGGGTGGGTGGGTGGGTGAGTGGGTGTGTGGTGTGTGGGTGTGTGGTGTGTGGGTGTGTGTGTGGTGTGGTGTATGGGTGAATGTGTGGGTGAGTGTGTGGGTGGGTGGGTGAGTGTGTGGGGTGTGTGTGAGTGAGTGTGTGTGGGTGTGTGGTGTGGTGTGTGGGTGAGTGTGTGGGTGCTGCAGGAGATGCAGCGCTACAACGCCCTGCTGCACACTGTGCGGTGAGTGTGTGTGTGAGTGTGGTGGGTGGGTGAGTGTGTGGTGTGGTGAGTGTGTGGTGTGTGGGTGGGTGGGTGAGTGGGTGTGTGGTGTGTGGGTGAGTGTGTGGGTGAGTGTGTGTGTGGGTGGGTGAGTGTGGTGGATGGGTGGGTGTGGTGGATGGGTGTGGTGTGGGGTGTGTGGGAGTGGGTGTGTAGGTGTATGGGTGGGTGAGGGTGTGTGGGTGAGTGTGTGGTGTGTGGGTGAGTGTGTGGGTGAGTGTGTGGGTGAGTGTGTGTGTGGGTGGGTGAGTGTGGTGGATGGGTGGGTGTGGTGGATGGGTGTGGTGTGGGGTGTGTGGGAGTGGGTGTGTAGGTGTATGGGTGGGTGAGGGTGTGTGGGTGAGTGTGTGGGTGTGTGGTGTGTGGGTGAGTGTGTGGGTGAGTGTGTGTGTGGGTGGGTGAGTGTGGTGGATGGGTGGGTGTGGTGGATGGGTGTGGTGTGGGGTGTGTGGGAGTGGGTGTGTAGGTGTATGGGTGGGTGAGGGTGTGTGGGTGAGTGTGTGGGTGTGTGGTGTGTGGGTGTGTGGTGTGTGGGTGAGTGTGTGGGTGAGTGTGTGTGTGGGTGGGTGAGTGTGGTGGATGGGTGGGTGTGGTGGATGGGTGTGGTGTGGGGTGTGTGGGAGTGGGTGTGTAGGTGTATGGGTGGGTGAGGGTGTGTGGGTGAGTGTGTGTGTGTGGGTGCTGCAGGAGATGCAGCGCTACAACGCCCTGCTGCATACCGTGCGGTGAGTGTGTGGTGTGTGGTGTGGTGTGTGGGTGAGTGGGTGGGTGGGTGAGTGTGTGAGTGGGTGGGTGAGTGATGGGTGGGTGGGGTGTGGGGTGCAGTGGGTGGTGGGTGTGGGGTGTGTCGGTGTGGTGTATGTGTGGGTGGGTGAGTGTGTGGGAGTGTGGGTAGTGGGAGTGTGTGTAGGTGTATGTGTGTGTGAGTGTGTGGGAGTGTGTGTGGGTGGGAGTGTGTGTGTGGGTGAGTGTGTGGGTGAATGTGTGGGTGTGTGTGTGGGTGAGTGTGTGGGTGAGTGTGTGAGTGTGTGGGTGAGTGTGTGGGTGAGTGTGTGGGTGAGTGTGTGGGTGAGTGTGTGTGGTGTGGTGTGCGTGGGTGAGTGTGTGGGTGAGTGTGTGGGTGAGTGTGTGAGTGTGTGTGGTGTGGTGTGTGTGGGTGAGTGTGTGGGTGAGTGTGTGTGGGTGAGTGGGTGTGCAAGTTGGCACAGTACCTCCTCCTGGCGGCGGGCGGTCCGACACTTCACGTGGCAGCCTCAACGTGCACCTAGCCTGGCACGGGCGCCGTGGTGACGTCACCGCGAATGGCGGCGGTTGTCGTTGTTGACGCGTGGTTGGAGGATGTGGTTTGGGTCTAACCCCCCTCCCTCACCTCCCCCCCCTACACCTCCTCCTCCCCCCCCCTGCACCTTCCCTTTCCCCACCACCTCCCCTCCCCCCACCGCACCTCCCCCCCACCTCCCCTCCATCGCCCCCCACCTCCCACCGCCTCCCCCCCCCCTCTCCCCCCTCCGCACCCCCCCCCTCACTTCCCCACCCTCATCTCCCCTCCCTCCCCACCCGTACCTCCTCCTCCACCTCCCCCTCCCTCCCCCCCTCTCTTCCCCTCCCCCCCCGCACCTCCCCCCCCCCCTCACCTCCCCACCCCCCCCCCTCACCTCCCCACCCCAACCTCCTATCCCCCCCCGCACCCCCCCACTCACCTCCTCCCCCCCACCTCCCCCCCTCACCTCCCCCCCCTCCTCCCCCCCACCTCCCCCCCTCACCTCCCCCCCCCCTCCCCCCTCTCACCTCCCCCACCTCCCCCCCCCTCACCTCCCCACCCTCATCTCCCCTTCCCCCCCCACCTCCCCACCCCCCCCCCTCACCTCCCCTCCTCCCCCACTCCTTCTCTCCCACCCTCACCTCCCCCCCAGCTCGTCTCTCTGTGCGCTGGAGCGAGGGATCCGGGGCCTGGTGGTGATGTCCGCCGACCTGGAAGAGACCTTCGCGTGCATCCACGAGCTCCGTGTGCCACCCTCATGGACACGGGTCAGCACCCCCAGCCCCCACCCACTCCCCCTGTGTGTGTCTCTGTGTGTGTGTATCTGTGTGTGTGTGAGAGTGTGTGCCACCCTCATGGACACGGGTCAGCACCCCCCACTCCACCTGTGTGTGTGTGTGAGTGTGTGTGTGAGTGAGTGTGTGTGAGAGTGTGTGTGTGAGTGTGTGTGTGAGTGAGAGTGTGTGAGAGTGCGTGCCACCCTCATGGACACGGGTCAGCACCACCCTGTGTGTGTGTGTGTGTCTCTGTGTGTGTGAGAGTGTGTGTGAGAGTGTGTGTGTGAGAGTGTGTGTGTCTGTGTGTGTGTGTGAGTGTGTGCCACCCTCATGGACACGGGTCAGCACCCCCCACTCCTCTGTGTGTGTGTGTGAAAGTGTGTGTGAGAGTCTGTGTGTGTCTGTGTGTCTGTGTGTGTGAGAGTGCGTGCCACCCTCATGGACACGGGTCAGCACCACCCCCCCACTCCCCCTGTGTGTGTGTCTGTGTGTGTGTGAGAGTGTGTGCCACCCTCATGGACACGGGTCAGCACCCCCCACTCCCCCTCTGTGTGTGTGTCTGTGTGTGTGAGAGTGTGTGTGAGAGTGTGTCTGTGTGAGTGTGTGTGTGAGAGTGTGTCCCACCCTCATGGACACGGGTCAGCCCCAGCCCCCCCTCTGTGTGTGTGTGTGTGTAAGGGTGTGTGTGTCTGTGTGTCTGTGTGTGTGTGTAAGGGTGTGTGTGAGAGTGTCTGTGTAAGGGTGTGTCTGTGTGTGTGAGTGTGTGCCACCCTCATGCACACGGGTCAGCACCCCCCACTCCCCCTGTGTGTGTGAGAGTCTGTGTGTGTCTGTGTGTCTGTGTGTGTGAGAGTGCGTGCCACCCTCATGGACACGGGTCAGCACCCCCCACTCCCCCTGTGTGTGTGAGAGTCTGTGTGTGTCTGTGTGTCTGTGTGTGTGAGAGTGCGTGCCACCCTCATGGACACGGGTCAGCACCCCCAGCACCCCCTCTGTGTGTGTGTCTGTGTGTGTGTGTGAGTGTGTGTGAGTGTATGTGTGTAAGGGTGTGTGTGAGTCTGTGTGTGTGTGTGTGTGAGAGCGTGCCACCCTCATGGACACGGGTCAGCCCCCCCACTCCCCCTGTGTGTGTGTGTCTCTGTGTGTGTGTGAGTGTGTGTGAGAGTGTGTGCCACCCTCATGGACACGGGTCAGCACCCCCCCACTCCCCCTGTGTGTGTGTCTGTGTGTGAGAGTGTGTGTGAGTGTGTGTCTGTGTGAGTGTCTGTGTGTCTGTGTGTGAGTGTGTGTGTGAGTGTGTGTGAGTGTGTGAGTGTGTGTGCCACCCTCATGGACACGGGTCAGCACCACCCCACTCCCCCTCCCCCTCTGTGTGTGTGTGTGTAAGGGTGTGTGAGAGTGAGTCTGTGTGTGTGTCTGTGTGTGTCTGTGTGTGTGTCTGTGTGAGTGTGTGAGAGTGAGTCTGTGTAAGGGTGTGTGTGTGTGTGAGAGAGCGTGCCACCCTCATGGACACGGGTCAGCCCCCCTCTGTGTGTCTGTGTGTGTGTGAGAGCGTGCCACCCTCATGGACACGGGTCAGCACCCCTCTGTGTGTCTGTGTGAGTGTGTGTGTGAGTGTGTGTGTGTAAGGGTGTGTGTGTGTGTATCAGTGTGTCCGTATGTGTGTCTGTACGTGTCAGTGTGTCTATGTGTGTCTGTACGTGTCCGTGTGTCCGTGTGTGTGTCTGTGTATCAGTGTGTCTATGTGTGTGTCTGTACGTGTCAGTGTGTCTGTGTGTGTCTGTACGTGTCAGTGTGTCTGTACGTGTCAGTGTGTCTGTGCGTGTCAGTGTGTCTATGTGTGTCTGTACGTGTCAATGTGTGTGTGTATCAGTGTGTCTGCGTGTCTGTACGTGTCAGTGTGTGTCCGTGCGTTTCAATGTGTGTGTGTGTGTATCAGTGTGTCCATGTGTGTCCGTGTGTGTGTCTGTACGTGTCAAGTGTGTACTTTCCAGACTGTACACCATGCAACAATTATAAAAAATACACTTTTTTGGGAAGCGGGGGGGGGGGGGGGGGGCAAGGGCAGGGGAGGCAAGCTCAATAACGCCAGGCAGTAAAGCTAGAACCTAATAAACGAAACTGAACTGAAGCTGTCCCGCCACCGTCCGCTGGCGGCGGCTTCGGCGTCGTGGCGGGGATCGTGGCGGGGATCGTGGCGGGGATCGTGGCGGGGATCGTGGCGGGGATCGTGGCGGGGATCGTGGCGGGGATCGTGGCGGGGATCGTGGCGGGGATCGTGGCGGGGATCGGGGCGGGGATCGTGGCGGGGATCGTGGCGGGGATCGTGGCGGGGATCGTGGCGGGGATCGTGGCGGGGATCGTGGCGGGGATCGTGGCGGGGATCGTGGCGGGGATCGGGGCGCTGACCCCCGTCCGTGTGACCGCGGCCAGGCGTACCCGTCGCTGAAGCCGCTGGGCGCGTGGACGCGGGACCTCGCGCGCCGCGTGGAGCACTTCTCCCGCTGGGCCGAGACGGCGCGGCCCCCCGTCCTCTTCTGGCTGTCGGCCTTCACGCAGCCCGGCGGGTTCCTGGCCGCCGTGCTGCAGGCCTCGGCACGACTCAACGGGGTGAGCACTTCGGCGGGGGGCGGGGGGAGGGCACGTCGTCATCATCATCGTCTTCATCGTCATCATGGTCGTCATCATCATCGTTGTCATAATCATCGTCGTCGTGATCGTCATCATCGTTGTCTACATCGTCATCATGGTCGTCATCATCATCAGTTTAACACGTAGGCTTTCGCGACCAATGTTATTCATAATCAACGTTTTTGGGTTTACATCGCGTTATTTATAAATGTGTCGTAACCCTCCACCACCCGACACGGCCAATCAGTAGAAATGTGTCACGTTGACAAAGACAAGTAGTTCACTGCTTTAGCCCACCACCGGTGTGTTGAAGCCACAACATTTACAACACACCAGTGGGCTAAAGCAGTGAACTATTTGTCTTTGTCAACGTGACACATTTTTACTGATTGGCCGTGTTGGGTGGTGGAGGGTTACGACACATTTATAAATAACGCGATCTAAAACCAAAAACGTTGATTATGGTCATCATCGTTGTCATCATCGTCATCGTCTTCATCGTCATCAAGGTCGTCATCATCATCGTTGTCATCATCATCGTCTTCATCGTCATCATCGTCATCAAGGTCGTTATCATCATCGTTATCATCATCATCGTCTACATCGTCATCATGGTCGTCATCATCATCGTTGTCATCATCGTCATGTTCATTCATCGTCATTATGGTCGTCATCTTCATCGTCGTCATCATAATCATCATCGTCGTCGTCGTCATCGCTTCTGACAAACGAGCGACGCAGCAGCTCAGTGGGGCCTTACCCGATGGAGTGTGTAGTGTGTGTGTGTGTGGTGTGAGTATGGTGTGTGTGGTGTAGTGTGTATGTGTACCATGTGTGTGGTGTGTGTGGTTATGATGTGTGTGTGTGTGTGGTGTGAGTATGGTGTGTGTCGTGTAGTGTGTATGTGTACCATGTGTGTGGTGTGTGTGGTTATGATGTGTGTGTGTGTGTGGTGTGAGTATGGTGTGTGTGGTGTAGTGTGTATGTGTACCATGTGTGTGGTGTGTGTGGTTATGATGTGTGTGTGTGTGGTGTGAGTATGGTGTGTGTGGTGTAGTGTGTATGTGTACCATGTGTGTGGTGTGTGTGGTTATGATGTGTGTGTGTGTGTGGTGTGAGTATGGTGTGTGTGGTGTAGTGTGTATGTGTACCATGTGTGTGGTGTGTGTGGTTATGATGTGTGTGTGTGTGTGGTGTGAGTATGGTGTGTGTGGTGTAGTGTGTATGTGTACCATGTGTGTGGTGTGTGTGGTTATGATGTGTGTGTGTGTAGTGTGTGTGTGTGTGGGGTGTATGGTGTGTGTGGTGTAGTGTGTATGTGTACCATGTGTGTGGTGTGTGTGGTTATGATGTGTGTGTGTGTAGTGTGTGTGTGGTGTGAGCATGGTGTGTAGTGTATGTGGTGTGTGTGGAGTGTACCGTGTGTGTAGTGTAGTGTATGTGGTGTGTGTGGAGTGTACCGTGTGTGGTGTGTGTATGTGGTGTGTGTGTGTGGTGTGTAGTGTACCGTGTGTAATGTATGTGTGTAGTGTGTGTGTGGTGTGTAGTGTACCGTGTGTAATGTATGTGTGTAGTGTGTGTGTGGTGTGTAGTGTACCGTGTGTAATGTATGTGTGTAGTGTGTGTGTGGTGTGTAGTGTGTATGTGTACCGTGTGTGGAGTGTGTGTGGTGTGTAGTGTGAGTGTGTGGAGACGTCTTGAGTCGAGCTGGGGGCCAAGCAGGGCCAGGCTCGGGATCGCCGCCCCTCATGCCGCTGTTGGTGCCCCTCCCCTCGCCCCCCCTCCCCTCGCCCCCTCCCCTCGCCCCCCCTCCCCTCGCCCCCTCACCCCCCCCCTCGCCCCCCCCCCTCGCCCTCCTCGCCCCCTCCCCTCGCCCCCCCGTAGGTCTCCATGGACTGCCTCTGCTGGGAGTTTGTGGTGTCCACAGTGGATGACAACAACATCCTGGCTCCTCCCAAGGTGGTGCACTCACACGCACAACGTGTGGAGTGTGTGTGTGGAGTGGACTTCGTGTAGAGTGGAGTGTGGAGTGTGTGTGAGTGTGGAGTGTGGAGTGGAGTGTGGAGTCGGTGTGAGTGTGGAGTGGACTTGGTGTGAGTGTGGAGTGTGAGTGGAGTCGGTGTGTATGGAGTGGAGTGTGAAGTGGAGTCTGTGGAGTGTGGAGTGTACTTGGTTGGTGTGTATGGAGTGTGGAGTGGAGTCGGTGTGAGTGTGGAGTGTGAGTGGAGTGTGGAGAGTGGAGTGTGGAGAGTGGAGTGGAGTGTGGAGTGGAGTGTGGAGTGTGAGTGGAGTGGAGTGTGGAGTGGAGTGTGGAGTGTGGAGTGTGGAGTGGAGTCGGTGTGAGTGTGGAGTGTGAGTGGAGTGTGGAGTGTGGAGTGGAGTGTGGAGTGGAGTGGAGTGTGGAGTGGAGTGTGGAGTGTGGAGTGTGGAGTGGAGTCGGTGTGAGTGTGGAGTGTGAGTGGAGTGTGGAGTGTGGAGTGGAGTGTGGAGTGTGGAGTGTGGAGTGGAGTGTGGAGTGGAGTGTGGAGTGGAGTGTGGAGTGGAGTGTGGAGTGGAGTCGGTGTGAGTGTGGAGTGTGAGTGGAGTGTGGAGAGTGGAGTGTGGAGTGTGGAGAGTGGAGTGTGGAGTGTGGAGAGTGGAGTGTGGAGTGTGGAGTGTGAGTGGAGTGTGGAGTGGAGTGTGGAGTGGAGTGTGGAGTGGAGTCGGTGTGAGTGTGGAGTGTGTGTGGAGAGTGGAGTGTGGAGTGTGAGTGGAGTGTGGAGTGTGAAGTGTGGAGTGGAGTCTGTGTGAGTGTGACCCCCTGTGACCCCCGTGACCCCGTGACCCCGTGACCCCCCTCCCCCCCTCCCCCCGGCTAGGACGGGGTGTGGGTTCGAGGCCTGTACCTGGAGGGCGCCGGCTGGGACCGGCGCGCCTCCTGCCTGGTGGAGGCGGAGCCCATGGAACTCGTGTGCGCCTTACCCACAATGCACTTCAAGCCCGCGGAGCGCAAGCGGAGATCCGCCAGGGGTGACCACCACCACCACCACCACGATCACCACTATCACCACCACCACTATCATCGCCGCCACCACCACCATCATCGCCGCCACCACCACCATCATCGCCGCCACCACCACCATCATCGCCGCCACCACCATCACCACTATCACCACCACCACCACTACCACCACCGTCACCACTATCATCGCCGCCACCACCACCATCATCGCCGCCACCACCATCACCACTATCACCACCACTACCACCACCGTCACCACTATCACCACCACCACCACTACCACCACCACCACCACTATCATCGCCGCCACCACCACCATCATCGCCGCCACCATCACCACTATCACCACCACCACCACTACCACCACCGTCACCACTATCACCACCACCACCACCATCATCATCGCCGCCACCACCATCACCACTATCACCACCACCACCACTACCACCACCATCACCGCTATCACCACCACTACCACCGCCATCACCACCACCATCACCACCACCATCACCACCACCATCACCACCACCACCGCCAGCACCAACACCGCTATCACCACCACTACCACCACCATCACCACCACCATCCACCACCACCGCCATCACCACCGCCATCACCGTCACTACCACCGTCACTACCACCGTCACCGCCACCGCCACCACCACCGCCACACCACCGCCACCACCAACACCACCACCACCGCTATCACCACCATGATCACCGCCACCGTCACTACCACCACCACCACCATCACCGCCATCACCACGCATCCGGAACTGCGAGGAACTTAGAGCAGATCGGTGATCTTGGCACGCGTGGTCCCCCCCCCCTCCTACCTCCTCCCCCCCTACCTATCTCCCCCCCCACTACCTACCTCCTCCCCCCTACCTCCTCCCCCCCCACTACCTACCTCCTCCCCCCTACCTCCTCCCCCCCCACTACCTACCTCCTCCCCCCCCACTACCTACCTCCTCCCCCCCTACCTACCTCCCCCCCCCTACCTACCTCCCCCCCCACTACCTACCTCCTCCCCCCCCACTACCTACCTCCTCCCCCCACTACCTACCTCCCCCCCACTACCTACCTCCTCCCCCCACTACCTACCTCCCCCCCCACTACCTACCTCCTCCCCCCCCCCACCTACCTCCCCCCCCACTACCTACCTCCTCCCCCCACTACCTACCTCCCCCCCACTACCTACCTCCTCCCCCCACTACCTACCTCCCCCCCACTACCTACCTCCTCCCCCCCACTACCTACCTCCTCCCCCCCTACCTACCTCCCCCCCCTACCTCCTCCCCCCCCACTACCTACCTCCTCCCCCCCTACCTACCTCCTCCCCCCTACCTCCTCCCCCCCCACTACCTACCTCCTCCCCCCTACCTCCTCCCCCCCCTACCTCCCCCCACTACCTACCTCCTCCCCCCTCCTCCCCCCACTACCTACCTCCTCCCCCCCCTACCTACCTCCCCCCCCACTACCTACCTCCTCCCCCCCTACCTCCCTCCCTCTGCTCCCTATCTCCCCCCTCCCTTCCTCCCTATATCCCTCCCTCCTCCCCCACTACCTGCCCCCTCCTCCCTTCTACCCCTCCCCCCCGCCTCCCCCCCCCCCACCTCCCCCCCCCCCACCTCCCTCCCCCCCCTACCTCCCCCCCCTACCTACCTCCTCCCCCACCCCTACCTACCTCCTCCCCTCCCCCCTCCTCCCTTCTACCCCTGCCCCCCCCCCCCCAGGCATGTACGCGTGTCCCTGCTACTACTGCCCGGACCGCGCGGGCAGCCCGGAGCGCCCCTCCCTCGTGCTGAGCGTGGACCTCAGGGCCGGCTCACAGTCCCCCGAGCACTGGGTCAAGCGGGGCACGGCACTGCTCATGAGCCTGGCAAACTGAAGCCACCACCATCACTACCACCACCATCACTACCACCATCACCACCACCATCACTACCACCACTGGGTCAAGCGGGGCACGGCACTGCTCATGAGCCTGGCAAACTGAAGCCACCACCATCACTACCACCATCACCACCACCATCACTACCACCACTGGGTCAAGCGGGGCACGGCACTGCTCATGAGCCTGGCAAACTGAAGCCACCACCATCACTACCACCACCATCACTACCACCATCACCACCACCATCACTACCACCACTGGGTCAAGCGCGGCACGGCACTGCTCATGAGCCTGGCAAACTGAAGCCACCACCATCACTACCACCACCATCACTACCACCATCACCACCACCACCACTACCACCATCACCACCACTGGGTCAAGCGGGGCACGGCACTGCTCATGAGCCTGGCCAACTGAAGCCATCACCACCACTACCACTACCACCACTACCACCACCATCACTACCACCACCATCACTACCACCACCATCACTACCACCACCACTACCACCATCACCACCACTGGGTCAAGCGGGGCACGGCACTGCTCATGAGCCTGGCCAACTGAAGCCACCACCATCACCACTACCACCACTACCACCACCACCACCATCACTACCACCACCACCACCATCACCACCATCACCACTACCACCAGCACCATCACCATCACTACCACCACTGGGTCAAGCGCGGCACGGCACTGCTCATGAGCCTGGCAAACTGAAGCCACCATCATCACCACCACCATCACTACCACCATCACCACCACCATCACTACCACCACTGGGTCAAGCGCGGCACGGCACTGCTCATGAGCCTGGCCAACTGAAGCCACCATCATCACCACCATCACCACCACCATCACCACCACCACTACCATCACCACCATCATCACCACCACCACCACTACCAGCACAGGGTCAAGCGGGGCACGGCACTGCTCATGAGCCTGGCAAACTGAAACCACCACTACCAGCATCACCAGCACCAGCATCACCACCAACACCCCTACCCCCCAACACCCCACTCACTCGTAGATTTCTGTTGGGTGTCTGCGGGGTGTCTGTTCGCCTGGAGGTTATTTGATTACTTGACCGGGGCTAAAGTTACGGGGGCCAAAATCCCATCGGTGAGACCACCAAAGACCCTCCTTCCGGGAAGCCTTCGAGAGCCCCTGGCGTTTCACCGGGTTAGCCGAGGCCTTTGTGATAATATAGTACAAATCCCACTCGTTCCTAGATTCCTATTGGGTGTTTGTTCGTCTGTAGGTCGTTTGATTACTTGAACCGGGTTAACTGAGAGCTTTGTGATAACACAAACCCACTAGTTCCTAGATTTCTGTTGCGTGTCTGTTCGTCTGTAGGTCGTTTGATTACTTGAACCGGGTTAACTGAGAGCTTTGTGATAACACAAACCCACTAGTTCCTAGATTTCTGTTGGGTGTCTGTTCGTCTGTCAAGCACACAGACACACGCGTACAGACGCACAGACACACGTACACACAGACACACACTCATACGTACACACACTCATACGTACACACAGACACACACACGTATACACACACACATACACACAGACACACACGCATGCACACGCACACGCACACAAAGACACACACACGTACATACACACATACATACACACATAGACGCATGCACACGCACACGTACACACACACGGACACACAGATACACAACTGTTGACTTGCTGTGTGATTTCAAGACCCGCCCAGAGTGTTGTTGTTTTTTTGCTTCTCGATTAAAGAACGATGCAGATGTCGATGTGACTCATTCTTCGTTCATTCCCTGTGCCCGTGTCGATGAGTCCGTCCGCCAACATCGCACTAACGCTCTCTCGTACGTAGGGCGCGTGTAGCTAGACTCTACTGGAGTGTTCTTCTTGGTTCTTTCGGTAAAGTCATCACGTAGAAGGGAAGTAAGAAAATAATGAAAATACAACATAATAAAATAATATAATAAATTTCGATTTAAAGCTTTCGTGACTGCAGGGATTCATCTTCTTGGTTCTTTCGGTAAAGTCATCACGTAGAAGGGAAGTAAGAAAATAATCTACGTGGTCACCGGCCTGCCACGTGACCTCCCGCCTGCCACGTGGTCACCGGCCTTCCACGTGACCTCCCGCCTGCCACGTGACCTCCAGCCTGCCACGTGGTCACCGGCCTGCCACGTGGTCACCGGCCTGCCACGTGACCTCCCGCCTGCCACGTGGTCACTGGCCTGCCACGTGGTCACCGGCCTGCCACGTGGTCACCGGCCTGCCACGTGACCTCCAGCCTGCCACGTGACCTCTCGCCTGCCACGTGGTCACCGGCCTTCCACGTGACCTCCCGCCTGCCACGTGACCTCCAGCCTGCCACGTGGTCACCGGCCTGCCACGTGATCACCGGCCTGCCACGTGACCTCCCGCCTGCCACGTGGTCACCGGCCTTCCACGTGATCCCGCCTGCCACGTGGTCACCGGCCTTCCACGTGACCTCCCGCCTGCCACGTGACCTCCAGCCTGCCACGTGGTCACCGGCCTGCCACGTGACCTCCCGCCTGCCACGTGGTCACTGGCCTGCCACGTGGTCACCGGCCTGCCACGTGGTCATCGGCCTGCCACGTGACCTCCAGCCTGCCACGTGACCTCCCGCCTGCCACGTGGTCACCGCCTTCCACGTGACCTCCCGCCTTCCA